AGTTAATCGTAACTAACCAATAATTGCGATATGCGATTAGTGGTTAACCACAAACCGTTTGAGGTGCAGTCACTGTTGGTGATTTTCTTCTTATGCGTTTGCGATTAACCGCAACCGCACCATTCCTATCTCTGCCAAAAAAGCTATTCCCAACATAAAATCGACAGAACATGAGCTAAGTATGATTATTATAACAATCAAACGGCTAAAAAATAGGTCCAAAGATGAAAATCTTAGACGTTATCATCCCTCAAGTCGTATTTCTTCTCAAACTCTTGACTCTTTCCTATTACAGTATGTTTGGATGGACAAAAAACTCAGGAATTAGAATTCCATTTCCAATTCCAATTCCAATTCATTATTCTATGTTTGGAAAGGTAAGAAGGTTGATAAATGAATTCCATTTGATCCAAATTATGGAAACTAGAATTCTTATCAAAAGTTATAGGAATTGGCTATATGGAAATGGAATTAGTGGAACCTATGCATATTTATTGTTATTTTATCACTCCACTATCATATTCCTCTCTTTCTCTTTCATTTATATCTCATTTCTCAAGATAAAAAAGAATATACAAAATTATTAATAATTGTTAAAAGTACAACTCATTTCCATAGTTGTGGGAATTATACCAAACACAAAAATTGGAAATGGAATTCCGTAAAAGTTAAAATTGAAAATGAAATTCTATTTCTATTTCTTATGGAATTGTATCCAAACAGGCTGTAAGGGGGAATGTATCAAGTCAGTAACCCTATGGTCAGTAACCATGTGTAACATGTCCATATCAGTATGACATCAGTATCCTCTCTCTCCTCAAAATTCTTTTATCTATTCCCCTTTAATCTTTAACGGAAGATTTCTCTATCGTTTTAAGTCGAAATTTAATTTTTTTTGCACAGATTAATCAGATTAAATGTGCTCTTTAAAATGATATCCCCTTTGATATATTTTTAGTACAAAAAAATTGAATAATTTTTTACTAGTCATTATCATATGGTATGCTCCTATTTAATACCATATGGTAAGAAAGCGTACCATGATGGTATGAACATACCAATATGGGAAGAAGGTTGAATACATGATAGTAGGAGTATACTAACTGTCATTTACGACTTTCATCATTGTTTGCTACAAGTTACTACAAGTTACCACCCTCATACCATAGTGGTAAAGTATGGTAATTTTTAATCCATTATTTTCACCCAGAAATTTATAGATCAAATAGATCATGATGAACTCGTTCCAACTGAGCAAACGTTTACAAAATCGACTTAAAAATGAAGAAGTTACCAAATGGTATGTAGTTGGTAAAAAAAAGTTTCTCGAAATATAGTGAAAATTGATCTCATTTTGTAGAGTACAACGAACTCGTTCCATCTTTGCAAAAAAAATTGAAATCCGAATTACAACGAAGAAGATAACAACCAATTAATAAAACTAAGGACAATAAAAGGCTTAATTGCAAGTTTGGTCACTCGAATTGCTTAAAAATTTCACGTTTGCCACTCAAATTGATTTATTCCATTTATAGTCACTTGAATTAGTTGAACAGTCCAAGTTCGATCACTCTCTGTTAACCTCCGTTAGACTCCGTTAATGACGACCGTTAAGTGATGACATGGCTAACAGAAAGACACAGTCAGCATATTTTAATATTAAAAAACGACGACCCGACCCGCCAGCTCAGCCTTACCCGCCCTGTCAGCCATTCTTGCCCAACCCGCGAACCAACCCAATTAATTGACCCTAAACCCAAACCCGAGACCCAATCCCCCTGAATCTAGCCCCCTCCTATAAGTCTACCCCCTCAAAAATGAATCCCTAACCATCTGTTCTCTTCCTCTTTTCTCTGCGCGAGAATCGCCCATCCCCATCCATCTCTTCCTTTCCTCCTCCTCTCACTTCACCTCTACCAATGGCGGCTCCCTTCTGTCAGTGCGGAGAGCCAACAGATCTAAAGACGAGCTGGACTGAGGCGAATCCAGGAATAAGGTTTTATGGATGCTGCAGATATGGGGTAAGGTTCATCCACCATTGTTTCATTTTTAATGTTACAATTCGACTATTATGCCGCCTTTTTCATCCTTCTATTTTTTCTGTCGATGGTGTGTAGACAAATGGAGCATGTAACTACTTCAGATGGCTTGACCCAGCCCTTGATGAGCATATGAGAAATGTGTTGCTAAACTTTCATCGTCGAATTCGGGAGCTAGAGAAGAGGCAAAACAAGGAGGTGTCCAAGTTTGATCGGAAAATGGTGTCGTTCATCATTTTAGGAGCTATTGTATTTTCTTTGTTTTGGATAGGAAAGTGATAAGTCGTTTGTGTAGTTGTAGGTGTTGTAATCTGTTGATGTGTAGCTCGTGTAGTCGAGCGATCTATCTAGTTGTTGACAATGTGTAACCTAGTATTATTCCATGTATGGTCACTTGAAGTTCTCAATTATTCCATGTATGGTCACTTGAATTGCTAATTCGAAACATGTTTGGTCACTTGAATTGCTAATTCATTCCACGTTTGGTCACTTGAATTGCGAATTTGTTTCATGTTTGATCACTGGAATTGCTAATTCGAAACATGTTTGGTCACTTGAATTGCTAATCCATTCCATGTTTGGTCACTTTAATTGCGAATTTTTTTCATGTTTGGTCATTGGAATTGCTAATTCGAAACATGTTTGGTCACTCACAGGTAGGTGCACGAATGGAACAACTAAGGCACGTATTTGTGCAAAAGAACCTTCCAATGTACTGGAAGATTGATAAACCTGATAGTCATTCATAAAACTTAGTCTTACAAGGTCCAAATGATAATTATAGCCTCGAGGACAGTGTTTTTCCAAAAGAGCAATTCACCATGACCTAATAGGCTACCTAATACGACAAAGGAACATTCAACGTCTACATTTACTAGCCAATTGGAGGCTTCAAAATGGTAATTATCATTTGGACCTAAACTGCAACTAATCTTCACTCTTGAGTCACTTGGCTTGCATTTTGCGATCCTCCACATCCTTGGCTGAGCTGCTGTGATGCCTCAATCCGTGGCCTCCTAGTAGTTCCCTGCAAAGTTAAAGCAACATTAGAAGATAGTAGGACTTGATTAGAAAGCAAAATTGTAAAATTGAATAAATATATACATCTGGCACGAGTTGGACAGTGTTGGGCTGACTCAATGTCGCTTTTGCAGCCCTCTGTTGCTGCTTCTGTAAGCCTGCCAATCGATTTTTTTCCGCTCTTCGAGTTGTTTCGCCCTTTTAGCTTCTTCCTTAGCCTGTCTCCTTTCCTCCGCCTGTTTCTTCCTTTCTTCATTATGGAACAGTTTGGTGTGCCCAACTACCCCACATGTGGTGCACGCGTACTTCCTTCCTTCCGGCTTTGATGATTCCCTTTCACCCTTCTTCTGTTTCTTCTTCCCCTTCTCATCCTCATCGAGTCCCTTTCTTCGCTGCTTCTTTGGTCTGCCCCTCTTTTTCGAGTTTGCAACTGGAGGGACTCCAGAATCCCCTAACTCACAAATTGGCCAATACTCCTTGCCATTAGTAGGTGAAATGGAGAACTGGTATATCTTCGTCGCTGTTTCCCTCAAGTAGCAATCAGCAACATGGTCCTTGATCAAAAGCTTTGCCTTTCTGATTGCAAACAACGAAAGAGAGAATGAGTGATTAAAATGACCAAAGCAGTAAAGGGCAGATGCTAAAGTCTAACTTCTTTAACCCAACAACTAGTATTAAAAGCATGAAAATGACATCTGAACCACTTCACACATGCTGCTGGTTTTGCTATTCCACACAAACCCTAATTTTCAATTAAAAAAAACAACAAACTGTTGTCCTTTACTGCAATAAAGGCGAGCTGTGTGAGGAGATAGTTGACTCACCATATTTCGGTTGGGGCGCATTTAGTGCACGCACATGACCCACCATGGTGTTGTCGTGGCTGAGCTGGAAAAACAGACAAGAACCTCCACCATCAGTATAAAGAAATGTAAAGTTCCAACCCCAAAAGATTCCCCATGGACAGCGACAACTCTTCTTTTACGCGTCGGGTTATAAAAGCGAAGAAGAGAGAAGAGGAGAAGCAGGTGAATTTTACCTTTAAAACAGGAGAGAAAGCTTCTTCTGTCTCCTTCGTCAACCACGGCCGGAGAGAAAAGTCGAGCTTCGATTTTGGGCGGCGGCGGCTCCGATTTAGGGTTTCGCGTCGGGTTTCAATAGGGGAAAAAACAGCAATGCGCGATGCAGAAGAGCCGCAGGAGGAAGAGAAGACGGGGGAGGGGGAAGGGATTCAGCGCGGCGGCCTCCATCCCTTCGACGTCGATTTTCGATGGTGTGCGATGGAGAGAGGCGGCGCGGAGGATGAGAGGACAATGATGGAGGAAGGGAAATGCCCTAACCATCTGTTTTCGATTCACTTTTCAGGGGGGGTTGGGTCTCAGGTTTGGGTTTAGGGTCAATTAATTGGGTTGGTTCGCGGGTTGGGCAAGAATGGCTGACAGGGCGGGTAAGGCTGAGCTGGCGGGTCGGGTAGTTATTTTTTTATATTAAAATATGATGACTGTGTCTTTCTGTTAGCCACGTCATCACTTAACGGTCCTCATTAACGGAGGTTAACGGAGAGTGACCGGACTTGGACTGTTCAACTAATTCGAGTGACTATAAATGGAATAAATCAATTTGAGTGGCAAACGTGAAATTTTTAAGCAATTCGAGTGACCAAACTTTCAATTAAGCTGAAAATAAAATATCTTTAATTGACCCACTTAGATCTAAAGGTCCAGATTTAGTTACTTATAGGTTAGTAATTTGGTCTAGCCAAAAGGGTAGTTGCTTCAGTTCGGTCCGAAGTTCAGGGAAGCGGGCAATTTTAATTCATTCCGGTCCGATCCTGGAGTAAAGCTGCCCGAGCCCCGACGTCGTCCCTTGTTCAAAGTTCAAAGTTATCAGTCATGCGAACTGTGTGAGGAACCGTGCGGTGTGTCCACCTCCAATCCGAGGATGTATGTGCGGAAATCATCCTCTTCCTTGGTCTCTCTCTGCCGGCTTCCTGCAAATGTGCAACCTTTGCGCGCCGTAACCCTTGGTCTCTTCGAATTTCCCGATTTTGCTTTCGGATTCATCAGAAGCCATTCCTCTGTTGGTCTCCGTCTAAACAGTGGAATCCAGAAGTCTTTTCGCGCTCTTGTTCCAGATTCATGTTTTATGCATCTTATTGATAATGCGATCAATAGAAGCCACTTCAATCAGGTAAATGCTCGAGTACTGGTCTCCGGGTTACGGTGTCATGGGTTCTTGGTCACCAAACTCGTTAATGGTTATGCACGTGTTGGCGAAATGAGGTATGCACGTGACCTGTTCGATGATTTTCCTGACCCAGATGTGTTTCTGTGGAATGCGATTATTAGGTGTCATTCCAGACATAATTTATTCCGCGATGCCCTCGGACTGTATTCTAAGATGCAGTTGCTGTGGGTCAGTCCTGACAGCTTTACCTTCACCTGCGTTCTTAAGGCTTGCAGTGCTCTGCCATCGCTTGAAATGGGTCGGCGGGTACAGTGCCAGATACTTAGGCGTGGGTTTGATTCTGACGTCTTTGTGCAGAATGGTCTTGTCACGTTTTATGCGAAATGCGGGGAGATTGAGTTGGCTAACAAGGTATTTTGGAGGTTATCTGAAAGGACAATCGTGACTTGGACTTCGATGATTTCTGGGTATGTGCAGAATGGGCAGCCCCTCGAAGCTCTGAGAGTTTATGGTCAAATGAGGAAAACGAACATGAAACCCGAGTGGATAACTTTTGTCAGTGTTCTCAAGGCGTGTACTGACCTTGAGGGATTGGAAGGAGGGGAATCTATTCATGGTTGCGCTATTAAAATGGGATTTGAGTTAGAACCTGATTTGGTTGTTGCATTCACTGCCTTCTATGCAAAATGCGGGCTGGTAACTGTTGCCAGATTATTCTTTGATCTGGTTGAGACACCAAACTTGGTTTTGTGGAATGCTATGATCTCTGGTTATTCAAAGAATGGTCTTGCACAAGAAGCTATTGAACTATTCCGTAGAATGGTCAAGAAGAATGTTATTCTTGATTCCATTTCTGTAACCTCTACTATCTCTGCTTGTGGTCAGGTGGGTTCCATTGATTTAGCTAAATGGATGGATGAATATATAGCAAGCAGCGAGTTTAAAGATGCCGTTGTTGTGAACACAGCACTTATTGATATGTATGCAAAATGTGGAAGTATCAATTTGTCTCGTGATGTTTTCAATAGAACAAAAGACAAAGATGTTGTCATGTGGAGTGCGATGATTGCTGCATATGCAGTACATGGTGAAGGTCAAGAAGCCATTGATCTTTTTAAGGCAATGAGAAAAGCTGGGGTGCCCCCAAATGATGTCACCTTTGTCAGTCTCCTTTCAGCATGCAAGCATTCAGGTCTTGTAGAAGACGGATGGAAACTTTTCCACTGCATGAGCGAATATAGTATTCAACCACGCCACCAGCATTATGCCTGTGTGGTTGATCTTCTGGGTCGTGCAGGCTATCTAGATCGTGCTTATGAGTTTATTAGGAATATGCCCATGGAGCCAGGTTTGAGCATCTGGGGAGCTCTTTTGACTGCATGCAAGATCCATCAACATGTACCCCTTGGAGAGCTTGCTGCTGAACGCCTTTTTTCATTAGACCCATATAGTACAGGACATCATGTTCAGTTGTCAAACATCTATGCTTCAGCTCGTATGTGGGATCGTGTGTCAAAGCTGCGGGTCTTGATGAAGGAGAAAGGTCTAAGTAAAGACCTTGGATATAGTTCAATAGAGATCAATGGAAAGCTTCAGGTATTTCAAGTTGGAGATAAGTCTCATCCAAGGTTCAAGGAAATATTTGAGGAACTTGAGAGTTTAGAGAGGAGATTGAAGGAAGCTGGCTTTTCCATCGATGCAGAATCTGTTCTTCATGATTTGGATCACGAAGAAACTGAAGAAACTCTCTGTAATCACAGTGAAAGAATAGCAATTGCGTATGGACTAATTAGTACTCCTCCGGGGACGACCCTTAGGATAATAAAGAATCTTCGTGCATGTGTTAACTGTCATGCAGCAATCAAGCTTATATCAAAGGTTGAGAACCGAGAGATAGTTGTAAGAGATGCAAATCGTTTTCATCATTTCAAGGATGGAAATTGTTCTTGTGGTGATTATTGGTGACAATAAATTCAACGACTTGATCTTCTGATCATGTCTGGATATAACAAATACATCGAGGCTATTGACTTGCCGAAGAGTTAGCTTGTTCAGATCAGCAGTCAGGTGTCTTAACTTATTATTATCTTCATGTCTCGGCTTTTTGATTCAAGGTCTACTGCAAACCAGTGAACTGAGATGATGGACATCAACACCATACAGGAGGGTGAGTTTTGTGGCTTTTGACCACTAATCTCTGTTTAGTGCAGTTTGCGCTATCGAGTAGTGCATATGTGCTTCGTGGATTGCAACTGTTGCTAGCTTGTATTGGCCAACCGTAAGCATCATCAGCCTTTAGCTTCATGATGTCTTATTTTATCAGATCCCCATGGATGAGAAAGAGTTCCAACTCACCTTGGGTGATCAACTTTATCCATCAGAGAGAGAAAAAACCATCAATTTATTTCTACCTGCTCTCTCTTCAGATTTGCGAGCACCTGGTCAATTGGATGGACAATGTGCTAGAGTGTGAACCTTAAAGCTGAGGTTCCATTGAATTTTACGAACAAACTTACCTGAGTTTGGATAGCTAAGGTTCCTCCCTCCATGTGGGTCAGGTACGGTTCAATGTTCTTGTCTACTTCTAGTGAACTGATAATGGATGGCTGGACCTTTTCTCTTTACCTTTAGTTTCGGGGCATCCATTGTTTAAACACTCTAGCTTAATGGGGGGAAATTATAGGAATAGCATAAGAGGGTAAACTTGGACTGGTTCCTCTTGTGTTACTGACCAGAATGAAACGTTTTCATTTATTTCATATCGTAAGTTTTTTTTTTTTTTTTTTTTTTGACAAGACACATTAGTGACTAAATTTTCTTGGATTATTTGTTTTATTGATGAAGAGGAACCAGTCCAAAATGTGATGCAAATGAAACTTTGGATCCTCTTGTAAGTGAGCCGGTACTTGCTGTTGGCCACATTTGTGACATTTACTAAGCTCCATACTCGTCTACTTTTCCCCAGGGGCTACCTGACAAAGAAGAAGCTGATTACAAGGATGGCATCCAACCGCAACTCGGCAACCCAGCAACTGCCAGTCTTAAAGTTCATGATTCACTCTGGTATCTATTGTAACAACTTGCAAAGCAGATTCATCATTGCTTACGGAATCGAATGATTGAGTTGGTTGGTACTTTGTTGCTTTCTGCTTAGGGGGTGGAAAGGATCACAAAAAGATGTCACTGGGAACAGGGTTTCGCCATTATGAGGACTTCGAGCGGGAAATGAAGAAAAGGCTACCCTACCGTCCTTCGTTTTGGCAGCCATATCTGTGCAAGAGCAAGAGATTATGGTATCATAGTATGGTCTATGGTTAACACGAATAAAAAAAATTGAACCCATGGATGGGCGAAGGTTTGTTTTTGGGATGTTGTGGGATTGACCAGTCACTTTTAAAAGATGCCCATTGCCAAAAGGAAGACTAAACGTCCTTACCCAATAAGAATTGTTGTCATATTATTATTAGGGCAAATACAATATATTTGCCATAACTATTAAGCAGCGGGGAATTATAGCCACAACTATCGAAATACAAATTATTAGCCAATCGTTAAGTTTTCGTTAACACTTCTGTTAGTAATGATGACTAAGCTTTTACGATGGTGAGCTGGCTCCCACGTGGCAGTCATCATATCATGTTTTTTACGATGCTGACATGGCCTTCTACGTTAAAATTTGAAAACAGTAACGGGTTGTTATCCAAATCTTGACCCACAACAATAGTTATGGCTAATAATTTGTATTTCGATAGTTGTGGCTATAATTCCCCGCTACTTAATAGTTATGGATAATATATTGTATTTACCCTATTATTAGTACTTGACAGAAGTGCCTCTCCCTCTCACTCCCACCATTTTCATTTCTTGTATTGAATATCCATGTGCATTTTGTCTGCCTCATGTTCAATGTAATTGTACTTGAGATGCCAATCTTTTGCCCTTCTCATCTCTTCTGTCTAGGGTAACAAAGGAGCCCTTTCCATCAATGGCTGATTTCACTTTTTTTTTTTCTGTCTAGGAGCATTATTGAACTAAAGTGTCATTTATACACCATGCATAACTTATTAAGAGAATGGGTATACCATACATGCATGTTACCGTAACTTGCACTTTTAGGTCGATCTCATATAGGATTAGGCCGGCCTAATCTGCACTTTTAGGTCGACCTTATATAGGATTAGGTCGACCTAAAATGTCGTTTCAGTTTTGTGAGGTTCCCGAATACACTAATGTGGGGTACACTGATGACTTCTCACCATTGACCTTTAAAATGTAGTGATTGATCGTTTGTAGTTTAATTTGTAATTGTTGGTCGACCACAATAAAACATCGGTCGCCCTTTTTATTGGCGTCAAAAGCAAAATGGTCGACCGTAAAGGTATATAGGTCGACCACTTGATGGCGGTCATTAACAAATTGGTCGACTATTTACAGAAAGAGGTCGACTAGATAGAAGAGAAGTGTTGTATCAATTTATCCATTGTTATAAATTACGCAGTGACAAAGGGTACAGGGATTTATTCTAGGTAAATCTTTGACAACACTATTTAACATTGTTATATCAAAATATTATTATTACGATAATAATGATACATCAATGACCATCACGAGCATCTAACTAGCATCGAAATTCTCATAGATAAACACAAGCATGAGATACAATCATAGCATTCATTCACATAAGAATAAACAAGATCACATCCTAATATAATAAATTTTGACTAGCTACATAGAGAAGAAATAAGGTACCACCATTGATGATGACAACACCTCTTTAGCTGAAGAACCCCGACTTCGACTAGGCTATCACTCGAGTAGAGTGTTAAAGATAATTAGTGTGTTTGTGCAGCCTTACTCATCTAATGGGGTCATGCCCTTTATTTATAAAGGAGAAGCAACCCTAAAACAACCTAAACTGACTAGGAAAGAGTCTCCTAAACCTAGTTTACTAAGGAAACTTTATCAACAAGTCAAGGAATAGGCGGCAGTAGGGCAGTTGTTGGAATCATCGTCTTGTTTCTTCGTGGTTTGGGCTTCCGGGTCCATGGACTTCTATTTCTGATGATTTGGCTACAACTTGATGGAGTGGCGGTTGGACCCGTCGATTTGGCTGTCGCTCATTCTTTTTCAGATTGTGTCCATTCTTCCTCTTATCGGCTTGTCTTGACATAATGTAGCAACTTCTAGTTGACTTCCCCATCATTGGACCACTTATTTCTTATAAAAACTCCTTAATCTTCTCTTTATAGCTCATTTGGTCCTCTAGAGTTCTTCAATGCTTGATTCAATCTGTCTTAGGTTGCTTTGTACTTTAAAAATCATAAAAAACATACCAAGAAGGCATCAAAGAGTGCCTAACCTACACATAGCAGAGGAAAGAGCTCACATAACAAAAATATGCAACGACGCATCGACCCATTAGGTCACCAACTAACATTGCTCGTTAGCAGCGACTATGAAGGTTGACGTGATGAGAGACATAAAAGGAGTGGGAGCCACCCTCTCCTAAAGGATCCTCGAGAAGCCTGCTTCACCACCATTCACTGCGTGAACAAAATTTCAAAGGAGGAAGTGATTGCATTGCTGCTTCCCACTAGCGTGACAGTTGTCCACGCGACTAGAGCTCTAGTTGCGCTACTACCCACGACGAAACCCCTTGTGGTGGGATGGATGACACGCGAGGAAGTCACATTCTCCCAACATATGAGCACCACTCAAACCATTGCCAATACACTCGTCAATAGCTAAAAATGTGATCGATTTAATCTGTGCAAGTTATTGTAAATGGTTAGCACGTGTCAACAACTACCCCATCCTAGACCAAGTTTAACCTAAAATGACATTGTTGTATAGTAGCCATCAATGTCGTATTTCACTCGGGTCCTGGTACCCTAGCCTACTTCCCATGTTGTTGTTATCTAGCCTATCGGTTTAAGGGTTTTGTGTGGAGGATATGAGTGAATTACTAGTTAAGAAATCAAATAAAGATAAAAGCAGGTACTTCGGGGAACTATCATTCACCCTAGCTTAGGACTACTATGTAATGTCTAGATGATTAGGGTTTTTCGAATGTGGTGAGTGAGTTCCTTTCCGTGGGCTTGCGTGGTTATCCAAACGCCTCCGAGTACGCCTCCCCTAAACCCATTTATAATCACCTCATCTAGGCTATCATATCCGGGGCATTAAGCTCGTAGCTTCTTTCAATGGGTACTACCCACCGTCGACACTGAGGTTTCATCACGGGTTCTATCTAGGAAGGCATTCCTATATCAATGAGTATTACCCATCCATAGGATCCTATTCATACACCTAACCTTAATTTTTTTGATGGCGCATACCCGTCTAACCCTAAACCTTTATACCCAGCGTAGTAGCTCAAGTAGGCTAGTAGATAAGATTAGGAAAACATACCCAAACGCAATCAAAGCTACGAAAGCATAAGAATCGACTAGATAAACACATTCATCCATTAAAACTCTAAAATATCTATACATGCATAGTAACCCTAAAACTAGGGTTTGGGGTATAGAACCCCGAGTATCTTAGAGGACTACTCCATAAAGAAGGGAAGAAGATACATAAAAGAGGTGAAAGAAGACTTGATGTTGAGAAAGATGGCTCCTCTTCTTCTAGCTCCTTCTTCTCCTCTTCTCCTTCCTTCAGCTTCTCTCTCCTCTCACTCTAAAATCATAAATTCTAACTCAAAATTAGCTCTCTTGAATGGGGAAAGGGGTCTTCTATTTATGTTGAAGAAATCTAGATATGTTGTCGATCTAATACCACATGAACGTGTACCATTATATAACTAGAGTATGGCTCGGTCTGTTAGCCGGGTAGCCTCGACATCATTATATTAATTATTCTAGCACAGGGCCCGGCCCGTTGACCGGAAGAATTTTATCGAGAAATATGATATATAATAATGGATATAATAGATGATTTGAAATGAATGAAATGATTGTCTT